GCAGCACCATTAGTGAGAGATTTAAGTAGGACAGTCACTATACTAATATTAGCAATGCTGATCAAATATTATCGTAATTTAAAGTGGGACCGGATCAGTGTTTGTTTATCTTATATGGTCTCTCTTGGTGTTGGGGAGAAATTCCTGATAAGGACAGCTCTATCTGCAGGGTAAACTCCAGATTCTCTTTTAACCTTGAACAGACTAAAGTTATCAAATGGAAGGTAAATCCTAACCTACAGCTAGAAATGCTTCACCACATAAACCAGATAGAGGATGAAGGTAAAAGCAAACATTTTCACAGAACGTTGTAAAACAATTGTCTCTAACACCGGTCTCTAACACTGGAGTAAAAAAAGGTTTTGGATGCTGCTCCAGCTCACCAACGCTAGAAGCAATGTGTATTGCGACATGATCGCATCTAAATCATGCAGGACAGAGGGGCTTGGGGATAAATAAAGGGAAGGAACAACATTGGTAGGGCTCTGAGCATTACAGAGCAGAATAAAAACATCTTTTATCTAGGTATAACTCCAGTGAACCATATGCATTCGTTGGCTGGGTATTGATAGATTTAATGTGACTGAGTGTTACAGTAGTAGAACAATCGTGAGAGCTGTGTAACTATCTCGGGTATTAGCTTGACTTTGAGGTAGATTTAAAAAAAACACTGAAGATTGGTGCTGAAATTGAGGGCAGATAAGAAACACACAAAGATATGCTAACACTCACACATCCACACACACACCCCCACATGCACCCATCACATGATGATTGACCTTTTCTTAAAGACCTGTTCAGGTGCACATAGTCAGTAATTGGAGACAGGCACAGAGGGAAGTCTCCCTGTACCCGTTAGTGTGTGTCCCACAGTCATGGCCGAGCACTTTAAATTAATTTCACTTGAGCTCTGACATTTATATATGGGAGCTACTGCTGAGAGCTGACCGTTTCAATGCGACTGTGTTTGTGCATGCATAGTAAAAATTACATGAGAATGCAGGTAAATATCTCAACTCACATTAAGGATTACACATGCACATTTGCCTTCCTGTAAAAACACGGGCTCTTAACTGGAAAGGTTATTTGTTTTGTCCCTTATTTTTTCTTGTTCAACATTTTTCATTGAAACACTAACCTCTGCACACAAGGGTCTTTTTCAACCACATAATTTGTTCCTCAGCAAATGAGGTAAAATGTTCATTGAAGACAAACTAAATCTGGATAAAAACTAAATTATTTTCTTTCAACCCACATGGCTCCTATGTACTGTATGAATATAATACCCCCTTTTTAAATCATGTATTACATACTGAATAAAAAAGAATCCTCATGGATAAGATTTATAAATCTGAAAAACATGAATGGGTGTTTTTTTTATCTTCACGTCCATCTTCTGACTGTTGTTGTTAGGGAAGTGATGAGCTTCATGTTGGTTCAAACAGACCTCTCACCATTCTCTTTATTGAGATTTAATTTTTACTGTAATAAAACTTTTATAATTTCATAATTTCTTAATTATCTTTTCTGAAATTATTTCAAAAGAAATAAATCTGCATCCCTCTTTAATTACTTAATTAATATAATCAAATTAAATAAAAAACTTTTTCAAAAAACTTGAATTTTAGAAAATCCGAACACAGGCCAGCTTCTTACCTGAACTGTAGATATAGAAAAAAAAAAATAAATTAAACCTTAAATAGGCTCATATAATTTAAAACATTCAGAAACAATAAAAAAAAGCAAATGAATTGGTGTCCATTTTATTTAAGAAGGTAAAAAAGACTTAAGAATTCTTGATGACAAAAAAGATTCAGCAGAGGTGAACCTTTAACACGAGGCCTGTCAACCAAAATCAACCCAAGGGCTCGGTAGTGATTCAACTAGGAGGTGACAAAAACAAACCTAAAGCTCTGAAGTTGGGGTCAGAGCTAATTTTTCAACAGCAAAGTATGCAACGTATTTCGGCTGCTATTGCATAAAGAATTGATAAGTTTTGCTGTGACATCCCGGTTTTTTTCCCCTTAGCAATTCTCTTACGTCCTGGATGAAACTTTTATTGTCAATGCCGTCTTTGAGATCTGCTAGGGGTCATATGTTTGTTGAAAGATTAAACAGGATGTGTCACCACTTCAAGATTTTTGCATGTGACGTTAAGTAAAACCTTATCAGCACTACAGAGTACTTACACAGTATATCAGGCCAATACTAAGACATTTCTTTTGCACTAACTTCAAAACAAAATGAGAATGCACCCAATAGACCCTATCACTAAGCTATGGAACTAATAAAAAGGGACATTTATACATCAAACTTGCTGCAGATAAAATTTGAAATGTTGCAAACATGCAAGAGATGATTACAAAAAATGAATGAGGTTTTCATCAAATAAATCAGAACTTGTCATGTACGTATGTCTTTCTAGTGACATTTTAAGTGGTGACTGTGATTCTCTTCCTCTCTTTGATTTTCTTAAAGGAATAGTACACCCAAAAGCATTCAGCTCGACAAAGAACTCATGCTCTTCCTCAACACTGAAGTCCTCAGACATTTTTCTTTCGTTGTTTCTTTCTTTGCACAGGTAAACAGCACATTTCTTATTCTACGCTTGCATTATCGGCAGAGCAGACGCTGAATGCGCACTTTCATCTGGTTTGGTCTGCCGCGGTTTCCGTAGACTCGTGAACGCGCTTTTAGGAAATCCTATACACTACTGTTTATGCTCTAAAAACATTCTAAATGACTTAGTTTCGAGTAAATTATGGACGCTACCCACTCAGGACACTTGGAATACATTGGACGAGCAGTATGGAGGAATATTGACACGTTTTTTGTGGACTTTTATGGACCTTTCTGCCTCGGGCACCATAGACCTCCATTATCTTAATGTCAGCAGACAGCAAGAAGCCTCCCAGATCTCCAGATGCATTTGAGATATCAAAAAAGTACTCCAGCGTGTTGTTCAGCATGGGGGTGAGTAGAAAATGAAGGCTAATCATGTTTTGGGTGTACTATTCCTTTAAGAAACGTTTTAATTTTTTTTTTTTTATGAATAATAAATTGTTAAATGGGTCAGTCATCTGTGAAGAAAAAACTTTCAAAGTGTTGTTTGTATGTTTTAAGAGCTTTTATGTATTGCTCAAAACTGTCTGAAGTGGCAGCCTCAGAATTTTATTTATAGGGTTGCATTTTGGGGTGACACACTTACATTAAAATCAAAGACCCGTTTAGAAATGATGTGATGTGGTACCGTTGTTATACAGATAATTATTACATGGACAACTGAGCTTCAGTTTGTAATTATGAATAATTAGGTTATGCTGTGCATACTGCTGTAGAATTGCATGGGTTTCCAGCCTGAAATGTGATAATTTATTCATTAAAACAACATGATTAGCCCGAGCAGCTGTGGCTTCAGCTACACCAGAATTTACATCCCTGACCTCCTTTCCCACAGACAAGCAAACTGTCAATCTTTGAAAGATCTGGTGAAGTCTGACAGAAGAATGTTTATCATTACAACCTGGAGAGACTCACGGGCTGAAGAAGAAGCAATTAGACAGATTTTATTGACTTGAATGAAATAAGTTCTTTGGCGCTTGGACCCCGGCAAAAGACTCAATGCTGTAAATCGACACGAGCTTGGATGAAAAACTGAGGAAGAGGTTTAGAGTAGCCTTTTCCAGGACACTAGTGGTATAGTAAGCCGGAGGATGAGAGGGTCTAATGCTACGTTCACACCGGACGCAGCAGGAGCAGCAAAATCGCGTTTGCTGCATCATTTTTTGCTGCTTGTACCAGTTTAGTTCTGACACGCGGCTGAAGCAGCTTTGCTGCTCTGGCTGCGCAGTGCAAAAGTGGGTCTGACGCGCGTTGGGCGGAGCTTCACTATCCTTTCTCTGCCTTGCAGCTATATTTGCTGTGATCAGTGGGAATAAAGTAGTTTTAATATGTTTTTAAGTGAGAAAATCCACCTGAAAACTTAATCAGTGCAGTCAGTTCATTCAGATTACCATCCTGCCTTCCAATATTATTTCTGTCGGAGCCGCTCAGACCCCCATATACAGCGGTGCACTGTCAGTAGGAATCCCATTCAACAGCAGCCTCTGGCTGGGTCGCCTCCTCGCGGTTCACCGCGGCGGCTGGTAGGTGTTTTTCATCTAAATAATCCAAATTGTAGGCACCAGGATAATAAAAGTGAACATATTCTGCCGGCAGATTTCTGCATTTTAAGTTAAATTATGCATCAATAAACTGTTTCAGAGGAGTGATCACAGCGCTCTGTGTCATCAGCGATGTGTCTGTCTAACGGCCAGCTCCCAGATCAGCTTCTCTGATTGGTTGACGCGGCGCGTTGAGCAGCAAAACTTAAATTTTTCCATCTCAAGAAGCAGCGCGTTTGCTGCGCGTCACGTGCGTCAGATGCTTAAACGCTCCCGATGCGCTGCTTCAGTTGCTCAGACGCGCTGCGCCTGCTGCTCAAAACGCGCTGCGGGAGCTTTTGCTGCGCTTTGACGTGCGTCAACCATTGACTTTGCATGTAAACTTGCTGCTTCTGCTGCGCCAGCTGCGTCCGATGTGAACGTAGCATAAGAATGATGAGTGAGGGAGGAGATGGGGCAGAGGTGGGTCAAAGTTCGGCTGAAGGGCTGAATGATGAAGATAGGCTGAATCCCAAACTGCCCCCTCAGCAGTAACCCTTAACTATCAAGTGTCACTCCCAATGAAGTCTCATTGCACCTTGCTTAAAGGTGGGGGGTATGAATGACAATGGGATTCCCTCTTCCCTCCAATGGAAAAGAAAGCAGTCGTTGCTACGACAATACAGTTATGCCCCAAATGCGTGGCTGTAGCTCTGTGGCGCAGGGTGACAAAAAATCAATTATTTTCCCCTTTCTTGAAACAAATGTTCACGGTCAGATAAAACTGTTTCACAGAGGTCCTTCCCTTTTGGAATTAATTATGTTTTTTCATACACCTAACTTGTGATTTTCTGTCAGCATGATGAAGATGCAACAAACAAGCGGTCCAGCATCGATTGGCTGAAGCTTCGGCAAGGCACATCAGCGGGTGTTCCAGGAAAGGATGATTAAGAGTCATATAGGTTGAATTCCTGCCTAAGCTTCATTTCCCTCACACCGTCAGCAAATATGAGATTCTTTCTGGTTTACAAACAGCAATTCTATGACCTTTTCTACAAGCTCAACTTAGGCCATTTCTATTCCACTCAGTCTGCTTTGTGAACGTTTCCATTACTGTTTCTCCTTGAACAGAACATGTCAAACCAAAATGCCCGAAGGAAAAATAAGACAAGTGAAAAGGACACGTCAACTTTTAGAATTACACGCAGGAAGACACTCTGTGCTTTATACCCTAAATCAGCTCAGGTGATGCAGCAGTCTTTTGTTTTCCTTTTTCCTCCTCCCTCACACAGGGCCTCATATCAATTAACAAAGGACTGTTTCTCGTCTTTGCAATCTACAATGATCCGAAATATTTTTGTAAGCTATTAATTGTTGCTCCTAAAGTGTCTTTTGTTAAACAAATTATTCACAGCTTTCTGTGACAAATTTAAAGTATAAAAATAACGTTGTACACTCAGTCTCCTACTGCGACTGCTAGTGGCAGAAGAATATGTTTCTAAACACATAAACAGGCGATGCATAACAGCTCTACCTCAGCTAAGGGACCAAAGCCCCACAAGGGGCTTAGAAAGTAAAGCCCAAAGTCAAGTGAAATTACAAGGGTACATGCATATTGAAACGCTAGCCCGATTTTGATAAGCTCTGCTGAAAAGTGGAGGGCATTTGAAAGGCAATGGCAAGTGGCTGTTGACTGCTGGCACCAGCCCCAATGTTAAGGACAGGCAGGTATAGAACTTGATAAATACCTATGATGGTATGGATATTTTTTGTTTATAGGGTGCACTAAGTTTCTGCCTTTAATCTCTAGAATTAAAAAGAAAATATATTAACTATAATAAAAGGAATGGCCATGGTTTTCGAAAAGGCTTTGAGAAAAATCCCGGGAAAAAAACTGAATCTGAGGCAGAGTCTATGTGGGAGGGAAGAATTCCCACTGCTGTGGACTTCAGGCCTTTGAACCTACATGTGCTTAAAAAGAAGCTATATTGCTCTTACTGATTCTGAAGCAAGCTCACAATTGGGTCACATGGCACACACAGGAGCCGTGTTTTATTCCCATTTCTCACCATTCACAGCAGACTAAGTTTCTTTATTCAATGCTTTCTTCTTACGTCAAACAATGCAGCTGTCAGTGAATCAAGGCTTTACAACAGATACACAAAAGGGGAGCTCACACTGACAGCTCAGAAAAGGCATCAACATCTTCATAACACAACCAGACAACCTTCAGAGGGTCTCAGCACTCAAAGTCAGATATCAAAATAGAAAAAGATTGTTAACATATGCAGCTTTGAAAAATAAATAAATTGCTTTGTGTTGTTCTGAAGCTTCTTCCATACTTAATGTTATACCTAGATATTTCTCTGCTTTATTGTTAAACTTGAGCAATGGGAACAATGCAATACGTTTTAAGGGGCATATGAAGTCAAATAAAATGGGAAATAGCCTTTCATGCTGCTGATGCTTTGAAAAATATTGAATATGTATCTGATTTAGTACCACATTTGAAAGTGCCCTAAAATAGGGTCTCTTTATGTGAATGAGGAGTACAACTTCCTACTCATTTTTCACACTTGTTTTTAATCATCTCCTCTGAGAATTTTTAAGCTCTGCTCACCAGCTGCTTCAGTTTGTTTGTTTGAGAGACAAGGCTGAAGCTTAAAGGTAATTGGCCTTTTGTGGGGCCTGGTTCTAAGTCATGAAATGTGTTTGCCCGGCTTCTCCACTGCCTTCTTTTAAATAAATAAACTGAATTTAATTAACTTTTATTCCCTGTATTAAACACAGCATGGGCTGGTTGTTTGTTTTCTGTTTAATGTGAGAGTGCTTTGCCTAGATTGTTTTGTGTTTGTGTTTATTTTCATACTGTAATTTATTCTCTTGGTGCACTCAAATCCTTAACCATAACTAACACCATTTTACATGAGTGTCCAAATGTCTGAAAAACTCAAAATTTCCCACAATACAGCTTGAAAAGTAGTGTGCATCCATGGCCACTAGCCCAGCGTTTATATTCCAGAATGCTTTGATCAGTCAAAACAGGATTAAGATGACAAGTTAAGAACCAGCTTTGTGATATTGCTGATTGGTTGTTGTTTATTGGTTAAACTGGATAGGGGAGTAATCCCAGCTCGGTTCGTGGTACGGGCCTCAGGTTAGCTCTGGGGAGAATGTTACTATGGTAACAGAAACAGAGTTTGAGCAGGTTTCCTTCATGAAACTGAAACCTCAGATTTCCCTTATTTTAGGTTTATAAAACTTAGAGTTTATAGAAAACTGAAATTAAAACAGCCTCAGGAGTTTGGTTTAACTATTGTTTTTAAATGTACTTCAATGGGATTCAAGTCTAAGAGTCAAAGCAAACAGCTGGTTTTCCTTAGATAGAAACTTTGAACCAGTCTGACTCTATTGTCTCTGTAAAGTGCCTTGAGATTAAATGTGTTGTGAATCGGCACTATACAAATGAGCTATACAAATGTGCTACAAAAACTAATTAAAGTATAAAAGTATAAAGTAACCTTTAAAAAAAAATCAAAAAAACAGCCAGATGCCACTATATGAATTGAAAGCTCAATTTTTCGACTGTTTCGAAAAATTCTTAGAGATAAGGCCAAGGATGAGGGAGGTCTTGTTGATCTCCATCTCCATCTCCCGATACGCTCTCGCCTGTGTCCGACCTTTCAGACATTTCAACATATTTTTCTGAATCGCACATTGTAGCATGGCATAGACGATTCACGTTTGCAGTTTGAAGAACACCTGCGTGCTTCTAATGATTTCCTTTGGATAACCAATGAGTGTTTGCGTTATATGATTCATCCAATGACACTAGTTTTCACTAGATGTGGACGGCGCCAATGATCTGCATTGGATGGCGCACATGACGTGAAATAAATATTTATAAACATTAAACCAGGGGTAACCAATTAAAAATCAGTTGGGTACGAATAAAGAAAATCATCAACCAGTAAAGGTCCGGAGACATTTTTAATTATAATCTGTTACATTAAACAGAATTAAACACTGAAATTAAATTAGGTATTTATGCATTCATGTTATACATTGAATTTTGAAAAGCCGTGCTATCTCAGAGGACTAGACACTTGTATGACTGTATTCCTGTATATCCATCAGTAGTTAAAGGACAAGGGTCAGCAAATGCAAATTCTGCCCTGTAAAACAATTAAAGTGCAATTGTCGCTGATCTGAAGCCTCATTTGAAGCTTTTAAACAGGGTTTGGAAAAACTTTGATAATTTGCTGCTGTAATATTATAGATTTTTTAGACTAAAAAGCTAGCAGATGTACATAATCAAAAAATAAAATAAATACAATTGTAGAGCATTCAGTATTGTAAGAAATAACACACAGTTTTTGAATAAATACATTTTTGCATGAGTTAAATTCTGTTCCGTTTATGCATGTTTCCTTGAAAGTTTGAATGCAACATAGCTCACAAATGCATCACGTGATCGCTGTGTTGCCCGTTTGATTTTTTGCTTCAGATAAAGCTTTGTAGTTTCAAACCTCACGTCAGCTATCACTGTTTATTGTTGTGTGTGAATAACAAGAGACTACAACAAAAAAATCAGTCGTACCTCGGACAAAATCTTTGTATTTAATGTTGTTCATAACACCCATACTGGGGATGCATATCTCGGCAGGGATACACTTTTCAGAATAACACCGCACTGCGGTCTGGTAATGCCTGACCTCTGCATTAAACCGAAGCCAGGAGTAATGAGTAACGTTTGTTTTAAAAATGTAAGGAACGGAAAGTACAGATACTTGTGTGAAAATGTAATAAGTAGAAGTCAGAAGTAGGAAGAAAAATAAGTAGTGGAGTAAAGTATAGATACCTAAAAAAAGTACTTAAGTACAGTAACAAAGTATTTGTACTTCTTTACTTGACACCTCTGGTCATAACTGGACTTTGACCAGTGCTGTACCTGGTGAAATACTCTTTCTTTCAGTGTGTAAGTTCTTGGAAGCAAGTTGCATGCTAATATATGGATTTATTATGACATGAAGTTTTTGAAAACTACTCAAAGAAACCAGCTTTCTGCAACTCCTATAAGTCCTGCTGTCTATCTCCGCATGTTAATGTTTCTTTGCAGCACGTCCATTAGGAAATTCTCCCATTGCTTCTGACAACCTTTTCCTTGCCTCTTTGAAAAATAAATTATATACACTGCTGTTTTCACACAGTCGACTTGCCAGAATGCATCCGTTTTTGTTTTTAAAGATAGGAAGAAAAAAAAAGCAAGAAAGTATCTAAAATGTCATTCACTCTTTTTTTTTTAACCATCATTGTTTTAAATAAGTGCAGGTTTGGTTCCCAGCCTCTCATGTTGCTGTCAGTTTTTGTTTACCTCCTTGTGTGCCAGCCCTTTTAGAAAGTGCTTGACAGATGGCAACAAGTAGAAGAATGCAGAGTTAAAAAATTATTCCAAGTGACCCATATCAAAGCGAAATAAAAACTTCAGTTCATCATCTGAATCTGTGACTCCTAAGATCTGGTCTTGTTGTATTTTCTTTTCTTACAGCTTTTTTTTTTATATCTTCATATGTCTCATTTATGCATAATGATTTAACAGTGTTTGTCTTTTAAACTAAACAGAATATAATACTAACGAAATATTTAGAAATATACATTTTGCCTTTGTCATACCATCCAGTGTACGCCTCTTGCTTTGTTGACATTTAATCTTTAATCTTTGTTTTTCAACATCTCCGTGAATAAAATAAAATATTTCACATCATTAAATATTGCACTTAGCCCATAATTGCCCAATATACCTCAGGGATGTTTTTCTCATGTCCCTATTTTACATAATTTGTAGGGGAGGGTTGTTTTTATTTTTCTAAACACTTTAGAATAAACATTTTAATTTTATTTCAGTGCTTTATTGTTTGACTATTCTACCATTCTGTATTTTTTCTGGCATA